ACGTTATAACTCCGCTTTGCTAATCTGAGGGTGTGGGTTTAACCCATTACTGGGGTCTGCGTCTGCTCGGACTAGTAAATGCCGTTCAATTGCTCCTCTGCAACACACAAGTACACCGCACGCACGCCGCTGTGCACAAACAACAACTATATAGATGTTTGACTATCTCAGGGTGCGAAATTAACGGGAGTCCGGAGTCAAATACGCCCTGATTTACTGCCGGACTCCCTGATTTGACATATGCAGGAGTCCGTGTGACTCCTGAAAATTCTGCGATACTAACTAGTTCGTTCCGGAGCACGGCCTCGCAGAATTACTGTATTTTTTTCAGCTAATGTCCAAAGAAATTTGCAGACGTGCAACTGCATGAATCTTAAAAATAAGCACATGCGTTATTGCTTATATCTTTAATTTTGAACCTCAGACTGCGGACTCCCTCATTTTGCTGCGCACTCCCTCTTTTTGAGAGTAGGGAGTTTAGTCCGTTGGACTCCCTTGTTCAAAGTCAATTTCTATAGAGCGGGCATCCACTATACTGAAGGCTGTCCAGGGGACTCCACATGTCTGAATCCGCGCCCTTTCTAGGGCGCTCTCCTAATTATACACACATGTCTATTGGTAAGAATTTATTACAGAAACCTATGCTGAGATACCCCCTGACCATATTAAATAAATTTTCAGCACAAAATATAACTCCACTGGTGAGATATTGCGCATGCGCTAACACCCTAACATAGCCAGATTGTGTACTGGCTGGTATACGCAGCGGGGACCTTATATGGAAGGTCTTCCTCCTATTTCTTAAAAGATGTCTACTGATAGAATGTTATCATAGAAATCTATGCTAGGATCGATCATCATTTCAAATGCATAATCTTTGCAAAATACGATTTCTGTCGGAAGATATTGCGCATGCGCGCGCTCCGTGTTAGGCGTGCAGTGCCGTCTGAGGCAAACTTTATAATCTAGCTTACTGCGGGGGAGAGGGGATGGGAGAATGAGGAAATGCGGCAGGAAAGATAGCTGGGGGCGGTAGAAAAAGAAGGAGGTTGAGCGAGGGACAGGGGAGACAAGGGGAAGGACGCGAGGGCATAAAGTGGGTGTTTTATACCCTACATGCTAGGGCGCTCTCCTAATTATAAACACATGTCAACTGATAAATGTTTATTAGGAAAATCTATGCTGAGATACCCCCTAACCATTTTAAATACATATTGACCACAAAATATAACTCCTTTGGTGAGATATTGCGCATGCGCTAACACACCAACGTAGCCAGATTGTGTACTGGTTGGTATACGCAGCCGGGACCTTGCATGCAAGGTCTTCCTCCTATTTCTTAAATGATGTCCACTGATGGAATGTTATCATAGAAATCTATGCTAGGATCACTCCTCTTTATTTTAAATGCATAATCTTGGCAAAATACGATTTCTCTCGGGAGATATTGCGCATGCCCGCGCTCCGTCTTAGGCCTGCAGTGCCGTCTGAAGCAAACTTCATAATATAGCTTGCTGAGGGGGAGAGGGGATCGGAAACTAGAGAAAGGCTGCAGGAAAGATAGCTGGGGCGGTAGATGAAGAAGGAGGCTGAGCGAGGGACAGGGGAGGCAAGGGAAAGGACGCGAGGGCCTAAAGTAGGTGTTTTGTACTCTACATTTATTGTAAAATCTAGGGAATCATTCGTTGAATAATGAGTCGCGCTAATACACTTCTGCATGTCCACTGCGAACTCAAGATCACACGCAAGCTAACAGGCAGTGCAATAGAGAAATCAATCAGCTCGTCGTGGGAGTTCATCCTCATGTTGTTATTCCATGGTTTTATTAGCGTTATTATGTTTTATTAGCGTGATTCATAAGCGGAGGCTGTAATCGAGTTTGATAGAGATTATAACGACCGTCCTTTTTCATGGCGTGCCGCGTTGGTAAATCATGACA